ATCGTGATTTGAACCTTACTCTGTTGACTGCAAGACTCACTCACTATCCTCTGTTCGACAATGCGCTCTAGTTGTTGACGAGGCAACCTCATACGAGACAACACTTTCAAAATCCTGCGGAAGTACTGGCAGGTCAAAATGCTGCGGAACCGCTGGCATTTTTCGAAATTTCCGCAACGTTTTGTAACAAGTCCTGCGAAAGTTCCCGCTTTTAAGCAGTCCACGTGAATCCTGCGTAGCTCCCATTTTCAACGTTTCCACTTTCGTAACAGTAAACAAAATGCTGCGGAAACGCTGCAAGTTTGATTTGTCCTGCGGAAGTTCCGGTGAACTCTCTGAGTATGTGGATACACTGAGAACATCAGGAATACATTCCAAACTCATATATAGCTCACATTTAACAATTTTGAGTGAATGTTCATTCTTTGTTTTCTACACCATTTATGTACCCTATATGGGCTTCAAATCTTCAAAAATTGTGGCATGCTTATGTGTAATTTTGTAGCTCCATAATTTCAAAGTTTGTCTCATGTCCTTATAGGAGATCCGTTTCACATCTAACTACAATGACAGATTTTTCAACGTAAAGTGCTAGGCAATTATTGTGACGCAGCTGCTTTTCCGTACTTTTGTCCCCTGGGAGAAAATCCTGCGCAGACTACTAAATCACTTCTTTGTACTATGACGTCATCGAAATAGATCTGATTTCTTTTCTTCAAACGGACCATTCAGCATTCTTAAAGTAGAAGTACATACTTCTACTTTTCCTACGAATGTTGTGTTGACGGGAGCATCGAACACTCAGACACACTTGAAGTTGATCCTGCTAGTGCAAACTCGTGAGTAGCTAATAAAGGAGCATCCCAGATTGCGTATCATTTGGCTGTCCCCCTGGGCAAATTTATCCCCATTTTATTCGTAGCTTATCTGAAAACGTGCATGCAGTTATATATGGCGTTACGAGTTTTAGAATAAACTTTCTAATCAATTTTCCGCTCAACTTTGGATACCTCGCGAAAAGAGGTTGTATGAGATATCTCATAATTTTTTACCGTTTTTACTGTAACCGTCGTCTTCGTATTTCCATCAAGTGATGTGGACTGAGTAATTACTCGAGATGACCAGGCAAGCTCTACAAGATGGCTATGAAGAGTCCGCCCCAAATCGTTTTTAATGTGGTCGCAGTCGAAACGAATTTTACCACCAAAAATCGTGTCTCCGCCCCCAAAATGTCTTAAAAATTCCCCACTCATCCTAGCATATGCTTGACACATCGAACATTTAACTCTACACTTTTCTTATTTTTCCATAGCCAGTAGTAAAGAAAAAATGAATGGTAAAATGGCAAACTCCTTTCCTGGACGTCCTAAGCTCCTGCAACGCACGTGATCATATAGCTCAGACATACGGAAGGACGATCATGTATTTGTACCTTTTGTGAGTGTCCTGATTCTCGAGAAGTGGTGATTTTTGTGGTAAAAACGGTTTATGAAGCACCCCAATGATTTTACAAAAGCTACATAATTATACATTACCTTGTTATCATTTGTTATATATTTATGAACTTTGTGCTTTTAGCAGTTAGCTTCTTAAAGAGGACTCGAATTCCACGTCTTTGCGCTCAGAGGTAGATTATTTGTGCAATACTAATGATTTAATTTTTTTTGAAAGAATGAAGAATGAGCCGTACGCGTTATAATAATTTCATCGAACGAGTCTTCTTCCATCTACGTTTTTTACAAACTTTATATTTTTTACGACTCATCTCTTATGTTGGACATCAAATTCGTCATCTCACATAATTGGGTGAATGACAGGAAAAGCTTTTTTGAAGGGATGCGCAAATAACTAGATAAAGAACGAGTGCATTTGCTTTGCATGTAATTTACGTAAGCGTTCACTCATTTCTGAATAGCTTTTCCCCTCATAATGATGACTAAATGATTAAATTTTATTTGCTTTGCAATAGCTATCAATGTTTTTCTACTCAATTTGTATTAATTTTTAAAAAATCCCAAGAAGTAGCGTAGTCTTACTGCAGGACCAAAACAGACAGAACATCCAATTCACGGGTAATTTCAGTGGCACATTTACTTCATATAGAGGAGAATTTTATTACAATATTTGAGAAAATTATTCCAAGCTTTTTTGCACTTATTCCCATATTATGTTTAGAAGAAGGAGGATCCGAAAATAGAATTTTCAATTTTTTTTCACTTCTTTTTTGAGATAGAGACATCACAGTATTGCCATTGGAGGGACAAAGGAAAATACACTCAGAAAAATTTGTGGAAGTTGAAAGGCACCAGAACAGGGCAGCGAAAAATTCCAAGAAGAAAATTTTAGTATGTTTCGAAAGTGTCGTAAATTTGCTAGCTGTGTACATTTGCAGTCCAGATCACGTAGTGGTAGACAATGTGATCTCCCAATTACGAAACATATTCGAGGCTTTCGGGAATTTCTGGACATTTTCCAAAAAATAAAAGTTGGTAACTATCACGTGCTCAGCAAGCATCCCCTTTAAACAGTCTAAGAGTAGATTATGAGTTTGACAAAGAGAATACGTCTAATCTGAAATGGGCAGAAATTATCTGCTAATTGTTCACGTAAATAAAGGCGTACTATTTTCACACTCTTTTTGACCTTGGCGCAAATTATGTAGTTAGAGCGAGCGAAAGCAGTAAATCTTCTTGTGGGTTACCACTTGACTCAGGAGACAAATCTTCTCCAATAACATTGAACTCTTGACTGAGTATGTATGACACTTATCGCCTACTGAGGTTCATCGTCTTTTTATGATTGGAACCCTTAGGGAATGCTTCTTTATCGCTCCGTATAAATAAAGCTTAGATGTTTTCAGACATCCGCAAAAGCATGAGGAGTTTTATTGAAGAGATACTGCCAAAACACCTCGCAAGTTCTCTCTTCTCCGAATCCGCGCAACTCGAATGTTTTTTCCTATTATCATCTTCTAATCTTGAATTGGTGTAGGGCATTCGAAAAATCGTGACGATGGCGCGACTGCGCGCGACACGCACGCACTTCCATTTCTTGTTTTTTATCTCTACTCGAATGCTTTTTCTGCGGGGAGTAACTGAGTTGGGCATTGAGTTGATGACTTTTGTATGGACGTTTTATGCTCCTGTGTGCGCAAAGGCAGCAGTCAACTCGTGTTCACGATTTTAAAAATGAACCATATATTTCTATTGACCCAACGTTTCCTCATCGTTTCTTTTCAAGTCCAAAAGAGATTGTTGTGTTCATGTGTGAAATCAAGCTACTAAGCAATAAGCTATGTCCCACCCATCTACTCAAACGTCCTTTATGCACAAAATAAGAAACGCATTCTAAGTTTTAGAAATTTAGGATTTTAGAGTCTTATTCCCTGAGTTTTGTTGATAACCCGCACACCAAAATTTTGAGAAAGATGAAAAGAGCAACACCTCAAAGGGGAGCAATAAGCATCTATTTCAACTCAAACTTCTAACAAAAATCCACAGTATTCTTGAATTTTCTATGAATGCAAGAATTTCTCTCTCGCTGCTATGATGGTCCATTCGACGTCGCACAGCGTCATAGTAGACCTCTTCTGTGAGTTTGCATTAAGCAACGAGCTTCATATTGAATATCTAGAAGCTTGCAACTTCTATGCTTAGTAAGTCTTTAAAACAGTGTAATTTTAGTACTCTATGTGCGTATAACCTTTTCTAACTCATTCTTTAAAGGTTCAGTGAAAATCCATTCTTTCGATTCGGGCTTGGACCATGTTTTGGCCCAAGTTGTGCACTTCGTCTCACAAGCAATCAAGCTAATGTCTCCTGCTATCCCTCTAGAAAAGCCTCGCGATTTTATTGAGAACGGTGGAATGTTTGGAATGATATTCACAGATTTGTGGAGTTTCTAAAATTTTGTAGACATAGTGGTGCCGGAGCTCGTATTTATCTAAATCAGGTCCGAATAATCTCCCTACGATGTCTCCTTCGACAAAAGTCAATCATCTTACTTTCTTCTTCTTCTGTATGGAATACGTTCATTTCTTTGAACCCATGGTGTTCCATAATAAATAAGTTGCGTAGGCAATAGATGCAAAAAATGCATGCTTAATGATGGATTAAATATTGCTCTGAATCTCCGAATTAGCTTGAGTGCAAATAGGAAATTGTTTTTTGCTTCCCGGCACTTAGGATGCTTATCTCAAGATTCACTTCTTCCAAGCAATATGGGTCTGGTAGACTTCAATTTGTTCCCCCTGCTCCTCCCTACGGTTCAAAAAACACTTGTGCGGATCAAAAAGTGCCTATACAGTACAGACGTATAAAATTGTCACAGACACCTTGCCAGCACCGCATTTATACTTCATTAAAATTACTAAAATACGGCAATTACCAAAAAATCCAAGTTTGCTCGGTGTAGTGAGAATTTCTCCAATATAACCGAAAACTTATGCAGCAAATAGTCCAGTAAGTATCAATGCTTTCGTAGAACTGTTAGAAGATTTTTTTTGCTTAGGTCCATCTCTTTAGAATCGCATTATTGATAGTTTTCCTGAAGAACGCTTTGTGCAAAAGCAAGTTCTAGTTACTCATATCCTCAACTAGATTCATAGCCAAGGCCTAAGGCTCATTTACTTTCTCTTGTCAAGCTCTGCTTTAGTTGTTTATCAAGACGAAAGCACATCATATTCGTTTAACCCAGGGTGCCGACATGTATCGATCTTATATCAACTCTCCTGAAGACGTTTTTCGTCGTGAGCTCTATAATACGGTACCTTCAGACGCATTAATTGCTTCTGAATACAAAGAGCCTGAGCAGCTTCTTCCACCTAATTCATCATCTGCCACTATGCCTTTGGATCCGCTGTTTATCGCGAAATACGGGGTAAAACCATTGAGATTTTCGAATTTTCGGAGTAGGAACAAATGTCTGGAGTGACACTGAAAGTGAGAGAGAGGGAGCAAACCAGAATGATCGCTGCAAAAAACTCAACTTACCTTTTATAGCGATTGAAGATCAAAAATGTGGAGAAATGGGAGCCAAATGTATACGAAAAAGAGCTCCTTCGCCGTACATGGAGTGATGATTTTGAATTTCTCTACGATCTTGGCACATCAATCTATACCTATATATTTGAACATAATCCAAACTGCAAGCAACTATTCCCACAACTTGTAAAATATGGTGACAAATTCAAGGAATCGAGGGAATTTCGATCTCAAGCGCTTAAATTTGTCCAGGTAAGCCAATTTGTTTGCAACAAATATAAATGTACTATCAATTACCCCAATAACTTAATTCCAGACAATATCACAAGTTGTAAAGAATATCTACCATAAAGAAAGATTGGAGCCTTTCCTCTATGGTGTTGGGCAATTACATTGCAAATTTGCATCACGAGGGTTCAAACCGGAGTACTGGGAGATATTTCAGGTAATTGTCATGATGAATTTTGTTCCTTTTGTCGTTATTCAACTTCTTTCAAAACGAGGCCCATTTCATTCCAAATTTTACAAAGCCTTTTGCTTCTTATTGGATGCCTATCGGCTTCTTGGGGCGTTTTTTCATGTACCTCAAGGGACTGGACTGATGGTCAAAAAACAAGATAAAACGTCGAGAATTTTTGTTTAACAATAATTTCGGTCTCGCTTCACAATGTATACAAAAAGGAAAGAAGAGATACGGGGATATGTCAAAAAAAGAAACTGAAATACTCGACATAAAGAGATTGGCGTTAAGGCGCGATATCTAACAAAGTCATTCTTTAACGGCAGCGGCTCGGCACATTTTCAACTTCGGGGTTTTGGCAGATTTGGGGCTATTCCGGCCCCCCGAATCACGACATGAACTCCCCTTAGCGCAAAAATGGGAAAAACCCCGTCTTTTGAAACCTCCCTTGAGACGGGCGCGGACGAGTGAGCCGTTTTTCTCTGCCGTCAGAGACGCAGAGTAAGGAGGTAGAGAGCGGTAGAACAATTCTGCCCTACGAAGCTACGAGTGATGACGCGTTATCTAGCGGAGAACATACTCGTCCGAACAAGGTGTTGGGGGAGCGCAAGAAGGAAGGGGAGCGGCGGTTGGGCCGCCCACCTCCCTGGCTTGCAGAGTTCACATTCTCGGAGCGGAGTTGCTGTTTGGGTTCACTTGTAGGGCCTCCTATCCATCTGTGTCAAAATCTGAGGTAGGTTCATTCTGCCGAGACGCTGCCTTCAGGCCTAAGGCATACCTCTCGCGATTTCGCGAAATCGCCACATCCTCGCGACTTGGCGATTTGCCAGATGTTTAGAGATTAAGCATGCGAGGCTCTCAGATGCATGGGTGCTTAGATTCCGTAAATTGTAACAAACACAGCAAGTCTGGCCCAATCAAAGTGCATTTACGACCAGCTATGGAGAGTCGTTGCAGTGCCAAATCGCGCTGCGACTAAAATCGCGTGAGGTATTCCTTAGGCCTTAAGCAAATCAAAATTCGACAGTTGCTTGCCGGCTACGGTGTCACTTGGTCCTGTTTGACTTTTATAATCAGTATACGTGACTTGAGCATTGGTGATTCTGAACGTTGCCTTCGTTAGATTCATCTTAGACCGACCTTTCCATACCGTCAAAGTGGGCCAATACTTGCTTTTCTTAGCAATCATCAATAACTATACAAGAGTTGCACTGTATAAATCTCTGCAGTGATCTTTGAGTGATCTTTCAAGTATAACTTGACCTTCGTATCCACCAGCAGCGTGCCGTTTATCTTTGCAGTTCATAGTACCTCGAAAAAAGAAATCTGTCCCACGGATCGCAGAATTATTAGATTACTCAACACATTTCAGGATGCTATGGAACATTCGTTGGCTGAGCACATGAACAGCTTACCTGACTTAGACGAACGTCAGCGTTCAGACGCCGTAACTGTAAGTTTTACAAAGTAACCTGTAGAAATGTTGATTACGCTCTAGAAATTCGTCGATTGATATAGTGCCCTTGCAATGCTGACTACATTACTTATGAAACATGGCCATGAAATTTCGAAAATCCTAAAGTGCTCTTTTAAAACTATTCAAACGCGCGGTTGTCGTCGAACTTACGCTAATAGTAAAGTCGGCTCAGCAATGGCATTATACAGGGTGTCCCAAGAAATTTGCACACGGCTTGATCGTTGATAACTCTCTTGCATTTATTTTGTCGCGGATCTATAGGTGCCTTTCTGTTTCTTCTACGCAGATCACTCATCACTCTTTATTACTGGATTACGGTAGTAATTCAGAGAGGATTGGCCATTGAGCGGTATTTTGCCGCAAAAGGAAACTAAACAAGTCCGTAATCCTACAGCAAAAGAAGGCGATCGCTGACTCGCTCCATATTGTAGATCTAAGTCGAAGCCAGCTTAACAGAATGGTATTTAAAAATCGGCGAAAGACATCAGCAGGAGACTTAATGACGAACAACAGTGTGACATTTTTTGAGACACCCTGTATATCTCTTTCTGGATGTTTTATATAGAAGCGTTTTTGCTCAGCCCCATTCGTATGTTCATAAGTAATCTTGTGTTATTACTTTTGAATGACTAACTTCCATTTTCAAACTTTCTAAGTTTTTTGATTTTTCTGACTCAGAATTTCATTGTTTTCTTCAGAAATTCCAAAAGTTATATCCGCACACAATTAACACTTATCAACGGCTGTGAATATTGATTCCAGATCTGGCGGACGTTAGCTCTATATATAATAGCTCATATGAAAGTTGGCTACTTTGACGGACTCAAAGCCATCAACAAACATCCTCCTCTGGTGTAACCTTGATTAACTGAGGACTTGCTTAACCTCGATGAAGCACATCAGCTCAAGTGCCGGTCAACTACTCCAAACTGCCCAAACCCAAGACACAGGATAAAATTCCGCCGAACAGCCACGCCATTCAAGAGACCTCCTTCGCCATGTTTGTTATATCGGGATGTTCCCAGAATCAAGTCTGAAGTATATTGCCTATTTCAGCTGTGATCCTTCTTTTGTTGTTTTCTCTTGTATCATAAGGTAGCTAATGTCCTGAAAGGAAGAATATTCTTCTCCTCGCAATTTAGGTCTTTTTTGGCAGAAGTTCTGCAAAGAGCGTAAAATCTCACTCTTCTCATAATTATTCAACTTGTGTAAAGTTGTAAGTATATTTCCGATTGTGATAAATACTGAGAAAAACAACGCCTCTTGGCCTTTAAAATTATGTAAGCGTGGGGAAGAAGTGGGTAAGTGTACTTTGGTTAGAGGATGGAACTTACTGCGTTCGTTGAAACTAAGAAGATTCCTACTCAGGTAAGTCATGAAACAATTATGAAAAGAAAAGATAATGTCATTTGACATACATATAAGTAATTCTCACCAAAAAATTGAATTCTTTGTAAATTTTCTACGAATTCGTCACCTTAAAAGGGAGGCTTTCACGAAAGATTGAAAAACGTGAGAAATTGTTTACGTAAACTGTCCATTGTAAATTTATATCGCACACATTCCATACATCAGAATCCAAGTTTATGAATCTTGGCAATGTGGGTGTTCTCTAGTTGCCCTCTTACAGCAGTAAACCAAGATTGATACGGGATTTCCTTTTAAACACTGACGTTTTGGCAAACTTGTTTTCTTCAGAACCTGTAAAGTCGAAGACACATAAATAACCTATTCGATCAAATGCGTTGTCGACTACAAAGAAAAGCCAAACCCCCTAGATCCAATATGAAGCAAAATGCAAGTTAACACATTGACAACCTATACGCGCGTATGTACGCCCTGACTCCCGTTTAGCACTTTCGTTGATCAGTTTTTGCTTTGTTGTGGTTATAAAGTACCAGTCTTAGCTTACTGCTGAAAGAAAACCGGAAGAACACGTACAGTTTATACAGAATCCAAAGCTATCATAATTGCCAGATTTTTTCTAGTTTGATTGAAAAAGGTTGAAACAGGTTTCTGTTGTGATTTCACATTTTGACAGTCTTGGCCACATTCGTGCGCAGATGATTGCATTCTCTTGAAGACTTAACTGCATATGATAAGAAGTCGTCCATTACATGCTTAGACATATTTTCAAAGTTATTTAGAGGGTATCGTCGCACCAAGATTGATGGGCTGCGTCCATTCTATAACCCAAAAAATGAAGAAGAAAAATTATCATAGCCTCGCTTTCTCTGCAAGTGCAGGAGTATATCATATTTAATTCCGTAAAATCATTAAGAGGTACAGACCCAAGGGAATGAAATATTTTGATTCGATATTTTGGAACTACCGAAGAAAGGTTCAAAACAGACATTTTCGCATATTTTTCTCGCGAGTCTTCCCCGTCCGAGGCCCATTCACATTTTACCATCCGCTTGAGATCACAGATAAACCAGTTACCACCTATGTAAACAAACATAAAAAGGATAAAGGATAAAGGATTCGGCGTCTTCAATACCCTCTGAGGGCATGCGCCGAACGCACACACTAACTTCATAGTCGAAGAGGCAATTGTATGCGTGCGAGCCTATTGCAGTGACTTGCGGGGGCCAGCCGTTTCCAAGTCAGTGCTTTTATCCTCCCAGATTACTCTAGTACCAATTTACCAGCCCCGGAGGGTAGAGGGCTTGGTTGGCCCAGGGGCGGGGATCGAACCTGTGTCCGATCTGGTCATAGCGGCGCCTCATACCACTACGCCACTCGTCCCCTGTAAACAAACAAGGTCTGTCAAAAGAAGTTTCCAAAAAATTTCAAACCAAATTTCTACGCGTTTGTGATATCGGCACAATTGAGTATGCTCGCTGCGAAAGCTTCAGTTTCTGAATAAAAAGCGAATGTTTTGAAAAAAAAAGAAAGAAGAAAGAAAGATACAGGACAAATGGCAAAAGCAGAAGAAACTTCGAAGAATTGGAAAACACTGCAATGTGAAATCCCATTTCGAATTGCAGGTTTTAGCTTCTGGATCAGGTAATCCACAACACGGGGAAAACGGGAGAAAGCTAGTTTCTTCTTTCTGATCTTTCTGTAAAAGGACGTATTTCGAAAATGGTGATCATCAAGAAGAAAAGAATCCGTTTTGAAAACGTAGAGTTGTTTTTCTAGGTCGAAGCGCACGTCAATGACCATTTAGTTTTTCAAGCGTCCTTTGAATTTTTACCCCCTTCCCGTAGTTTATATTTCTGGCCCCTTGTCAGCTTTAAATTCTAAGTTCTCTCTTAACCTGTGCATCTTGATGTACTCCTTCTATGTTATTTGGTGCCAATCTAGGTTAATAAGGTGGTATCATTTATTGACCTTACTTTTCGACAAAGTGCGTTGTCACCGTTAAGAAAGCCTAAGATAGAAGTATGATGGCGGTGATTTTGATGTAAAATGCACAACTTTATCATATAAGGCAGAGACTGTAGCACGAAAAAATATGGAAGTCGCATGGATTTAAGTCAGAAATCCAAGTATGAATAAAAAGTGAAGGCTTATCAACGACCGAACTCTTGCCACTCCTTTCGATATGTGAGCTATAGCTAGAAGATATATAAAGATCATTTCGCTGAGCAACGCTCAATGTCGCTCGTCTACTTTGTGCGACTACCGACTAACTCGCTAAAACCGCGATGAAACATAGGTCAGTTTACACTACATCAGCAGGTTATTACGTTGCCCTCGAGACAAAATCCACACTATGATGTTTGACGGCGGCGTGGCAGGAGTTCCCAAAGCCTGGCCGCTTTTCCTCGCAGGGGTACTTGGCACCTCCAGAAATCCTATGAAGGACATCACACCTTCTCGAGGGCAAAGGGCGGCCCCGCCCATCACTACTGACTGTAAGTGCCCTCATTTTGAATTGTGTACAGCACTGTAAGAGTGGTTCATTGTACTTGAGGATAATAGAACTGAAATAGAGAAACAAAAAGCTACGTTCCCATAAAGTTTAGAATCCGTAGATGACTGCAGCTGAATTTCCAGCATTTCGAATTATGTTCTACTCAAGTTTTCGGATGAAATGACGTTTCCCTAAAAAGCAGGTGCTAGCGCTTGAATAATTTTTGAAGCATATAGTACCAATGTAAGTTAAGAACTTAGCATATTCCAGTCACAATATATGATGAGGAAGTTAGTCAATTTGCAAGTTCTAAAATTCAACTAACTGTAAGAATATAGCGAAGTGGAAAATATCTTGCAAATTTAGTGTTGTTTGTAATTAGCCAACTCTTCAATAACACATGCGACCGAATTTTGGTATCCTAGCACATCGATTGTAGGACCTCCTCCTCAAAATTTTTTTGATTATTTTTATCTTATTGATCATTAAACTTAAAATGATAAACTCGCATGAATATACGATTTCAGGCGAAAGTAGGAAAGCATGTATGCTCAAATGTCCGAATTGCTGGGAAAGACTCAGGTTGGTTGCCCGAAATTTTTCTATACCCCTTCCAAAATAGGTTCTTCTAAGTTGAGAAAGTAGTTGGGTTCTTAACCACTTTTAGTCACTCAGTCATTCAAATTGACGCTTTACTTCAATTCAATAATATTAATGCTCGTTTTTGAACGATGGTACAGCGGAAGTTTCACTTGAGAAATGATAATTATGTTCTTCGTTTTTTCTCCACTTTGCTCTCTTATCACCTTAATATCTGAACCTATGTTATCGCTGCTTGCACACCTCACAATGGGACCAGTAAGTGGGTGGAGCGATGGGCGGGCCTGACCTCTGAGGCGCGGAGGTGCTAAGACCCTCCTGGGTGCGAATGCTGGTGCGAACTTGGTGCGAGGGAAGGTGCTAAGAACTCCTGCACGCCCTCCATGTTTGACGATGGTGTTTTGTTGGTCTTATATCGCAGATGAATAACTGCAATCTACTACAGACTTCCCAAACGATGCTTTGTCGAAACGTAAGGTCAATAAATGGTACCACCCTACCAACCTGAATCTGGCACAAAATAACATAGAACGAGTACATGTCAGCTTTGCTATGCTTATAAGAGCAATATGCCACTAAGTGTGTGAGAAATGGTTGCTTATCAACTCCAATAAAGACCTACGTTGCCAGTATCATGAACAAAAGCAAGATCTAACGAATGCCGAAAAACCGCTTGAAAAGAACCAAACTAGAGAAAAAACGAGAGATTTTCGGTTAACAAGAAATTATGGTTTTGCTAGATTCCTCTTTCAAACAAATGATGGAATTACGAAGTTGTCAACGTAAAAACAGAGGCAAAGAACTTCAATATGGTATACAGTTTGCTAGATTTAAGTTCAGAACAACGAAGAAATGGGGCCGAATTCAGGTTTGGCTCTGGTGGTAGATTCCCGCGGGATCGAAACAAAACCCAGCAACATTATACATAGTCTGATCGTCATCGTACGATCAGGGACAACTTCGCAAGACTTAAAAATCACTTTATAACGAGATAAACCAGCGTTTACATGTCGCAGGAGTTAAGCGCAGTTTCTCGTTGTTGATGAACTCCAGTAGCTCTCGTGAGTTTCTTTCTGAAACATAATCTCAAAGGAAACTATACTTGGTGTCCGTGGCCTCTTGAGAAGAATTCTAAACCATTACACTCGTCTTCGAACGCTGATTCCTAATCTGGCTTTCGTTTCTGCCATACGTTTCTCTGAAAGAAGTTATGTCGCGCCAATTTGGCCCCGAGGGAAATACGAGAGGAACACCAATACGGCAGGCAGGCTTTGTTGAATGGTTAGTGAAGAGCCTTACAAGATGGTGCATGCGCAGGTTCGAATTCCTTACAGTTTTCATCGTATTTCCTCCGGGCGGTCAAGCTTAACGCAAAAATCCTTTACAACTTTTTTCAGAGAAACGACTAGCAAAAAAAGACAGATTCGGAATCAGCGTTCGAAGTATAGTGTGATGGTATACAAATTATCTCAAAAGGCCACGAAGACTAAGTATCCTCATTCCTATATTCCTCATTGTAGCGCAGGACCTTTTGGCACATTCTTGTTAGCTTCTCAACCTCAATTTTTCAAACGGCAGCACGCCGGGTTCCAAGAAAGTCATCTAACCAGCGCCCAAACTATTTACTGAAATCGAGACATGCACCATTCATGAGGTCTGCCAGAGAGCAGAGCAGATGATAATCTGACAGAGCAGATTTAGATTTGGAGAGTACATTTGGGTACTGAAGTACCTTCCAGTCAAATCGTGGAGGACAGTTTTGACGACGTTTGCCTTATGACACCATGTTTCGTCATGCAGAAAAATTGGATCTGTCTTTAGGCTTTTGCGGTAGGACTGGTTTAGACGGTGCAGTTGGATTGCTTACGGTATGGTTGACCATGGCCTACTTGTACAGCAATTTTCAGTGCAGGACGTCCTGCTCCTGTCCCCTGAAAAGTCTTGTTCAGGGACACCCTGCTCAGCCCCTGATCTTAGCAATCCAATCCTTTTTTTCTCCTACTGATGTGCGAGCGCCATGTTCCATAATCGACACGAAAATCTGTGCAAAAGCGATTCTTTTCGTAAGGAAGAAGGCCGAAAAAATGCTCCCTTTTGCCTTTCAAGATTTCTATCTTTGAAAGCTGTGAGATCCGAGTGAGTTTATCACAGGAATCAGTAGAGGTACCAAAGGCCACAATCAGCCCTTCCAAATGATATACGCACCTTGCCGCAAATCAACCGCTCCTCAAAGATATGAGTACGAAAATGAAAACGCTACAAACTCATGGAACGACCTAATAGTTATGATCCCGACGTCCGGACTTCGCCACGATTGTATTTTGGTGAAGGTTGTGTCCTCTTATATCGCTCAAAGTGAAGGTCACCAGAGTACATGGCTCTATCTATCAAAAAATGAATGAGGTAAAACTTTCATTTTGCTTAAGACGTGAGTCTCAGTGCACATGTAAATGATTGGAAGCCGAAGAAAAATTGTCAAGGAAGTGCAAAAGAAGAACATAACAGTCTATGACATGGACATACAACTTTAGCGAAAAAGACTTGCATCAAACTGACTGACAGTATACAAAGAGCGAAACAACCTCGTATTCAAAGTGCATGATGAATTTTGATAATTTTATATATGACTAGAATTACATTGACTACTTGCTCAATATAGGAGGAGCTAAGGTCGAGGCATATACTCCGAGTAGGGATCCACCAACTCGCAGAAGTTTGTGCCCACATTGATCAGCAGCAGATCGCCTGATTTGTTACGCATCCCTGCATGAAAACCAGGTACAAAATGACTTTGCATCCATTGTTTGATGAAAGGGCTAAAATACAATTAGACAATCTCCTATCATAATATAGAAAACGTCACCTTTTTACAAGCTCAGCTTCAGGCACAAATCCTGTTTTATCCACGTCTTTGAAAACCACATCTCTATTCAAGGCCGATGTCGCCGCAAAATAAACAGTTGCTATCTTCCGCTTGCCAGCAAGCCACTGCTAAAAACTGAAGTCATTAAACTCTGTCACGACTCTGCTGCGAGCGCTCGTATAAGCACGTAGGCCGAAAGTACTGGTTGCCGCGCTATCCGGCGACGATTACGGTAGTTTCACACGTATTGTCGCAATCGCTTCCGAACTCTCATTGCCTTGGCGCGTTGCCAAAAGAGAGCTAAATATAGTTGCGCCTTATTTCGACGTCTGTCTGTTTTCGTATTCAGTCGATATTCTTTTCACTTGATCTTTTGTGCCTGCGCTTGGCAGTTCACTTTCGCCTCGTATACAAACGTTAGCAGTCGAATAGATGAAATGGAATTCAGATGGAACTGGAACTGGATTTTGGACTGGTTTGCTTAGTTTTTGTTGGTTCTTGATGTCATTAGGATTAATGCTTGCAATTAGTCTTTGATCGGTTCTTCCCCGCTAAGGAGAGGTGGGAGCCTAAACTGCTTCGCATATAGTGAGCGGACGAGCCTTGGCTATTCGGGCTAAATCGGTGCTTAGGGCCCACCGAGCCGCCGCATTCAGTAAAACTAATTGCCAAGAGTCTGAGACATGACAGAGCTACATAAATCAAATCAATAACAGCTATCGTCTAAAATACAGTGAGCTAATACAGTTGCAGCGGTGGTATTTGTCCAAAACTGCGGGATTGTCGGGATTCGCGGGATTGTCGGGATTCGCGGGATTCGCGAGATTCGCGACTTCGCGGGATTTGCGGGATTCGCGGGATTTGCGGGATAAGCGGGATTTAGCTATAACTTCTTTTAAAATAGCTTTATTTGTAATCTGAGTGAAGATTTGGCTTCAGCTTGATGAGACGAATCTTTTGATATACGGTATGTCCGTAGTTCGTAGTGACGGGGTAGACATACAATGATACCTTGTTGTTTTCTACGTTAAGGCTTTTGTGAACATTTATCACAGTGTAAATCGCGTATAGGAGGTTCTGGTACGAAGCTCTCGTTATCGAAAACTATCGCGAAAAATTGGGCAGTTTTTATCTACTCTCATCGCTGATATAAGCATTTTATCATTTATCACTGATAATAACACATCTTTGGATCATTTTTTGCATATGGTAAGGAAAGTACTGTAGGAAAAGCTGTGTGAATTTCTATCGCTCTTTCTCTCATTATAAGTGATCTACAGGCTTTTCTAGTTCTATTGCTCGGTGCAATTGGTAGATCCCTCGCTGCAGCAATCGATTGATTTTTCATCGGCACATGCCATTGCTGCCAATTCTTACCTAGAATGGCAATTTGCTTCAACTCGCTTCACGCCGAAGCCTGGGCTGAAATTCTGTACCTATATGGAAGATGAACGTGGAAATCGACGGCATGAATTTAAGCCATTCTTATCTGTCGTTGCCATTGATATCATCATTTTATCATTTATCACTGACGACACAAAATTGATCATTTTTGATATACAATAAGAAATGTACTTTAGAAAACGCTGTGTGAGTTTTTATTGCTCTATCTCTTATAGTACAAAACCACTCACAGAACATGCAAAATTTCCGGGAATTCCGCGAAATTCATGTGAATTACGCAAATTACGCAGGGCCATAACTTTTTTCCGAATGAGTATAATCAAAATCCGAAATCAACGTTGTATTCAGCTCGTCAAGGCAAATCTTTTGACATTACGATTGTCTCCAATATCTTGTTTTCAATAATCTTGAATTTGCATGCCGACGCCTCTTCGCATGGGTGTAACGCAACAAGCATCACACATAGGAGACTACCATGGGCACCGTTCGATAGTACTCTTTCACTAGATTATCATGCGCTAAACAGCAGCCGAAAACTCCCTTTCAAAAGAGATAGAAGAGCTGATAAACTCCGGAAAAATTAAGCTGTTCCAAGTTTTACTAGCCGTAACTTTCTTTAGAATGAACATTTTCGAAATCAGAAAGCAGATTTGTGTTCATCTTGTCAAGTCGAATCTTACTGTATACAGCATGTTCTTGAATTTCCGTTTTCAATTTTTTCACAATTCTGCGCGCGTATATTCACAAGGTCGCAACGCAGCGCACATCAAACATAAAAGACTCTATTAAGCACTGTTGGATTGTGCTGCTTCCGCAGATTATCGAGCGCTAAGAAGCAACCGGAGAATCTTTTTGAGAAAAGATAGAAGAGCTGGTGAATTCTGGAAAATCGTGTTGTCTCAAATTTTGCCCACAGTGACCCTAAAATGAGAAGCTCTACTGCTAAGCAGATGTGATTTTCGTAATCAGCAGGTCAGATAACCTCTATGAGGTTTTCAAAGAAATTTGGGTGATTCGATTTTTTCTCGTTCTACGCCCTGAAGCTCGCCGATGGGTTTTGGTCAAAATGTCGATGACCTTGGATTGTAAAGAAACTTCGCCCAAAGAGGTTTTCGAACACGCTGTTTACGAAAATAGTGGTCTTTGAAAAAGACAGGGTCTTTTTGTAGAGTTATTGTGAGGTGACTGTAACTGAGTCACGAAAGTTCGTAGATTTGCCTGCACTTTTCGCGAATTTGTCAGAAAACTAGCCAGCTTGCTTTTCCAAGTCAAAATCAATGGGAACTGTGCTATCAAAAGGTGCATGCTCAGGCTCCAGTCTATAAAGTTCGCCGAGTTACGAGCCTACGAAAAGACGTCCTCATAATTTTCGCTCAAAATGTAAAAATCGCGTATTTCGTCGAAATTCCGCCCTCGGTGGTTTTATGACATACTGATCAAATCTGTTCACATTGGTTAATGGTCTTAATGTGCTGGATTTGGAAATTAGGTAGATCTGAGCTCAAGCTACGAAGGTGCTTGTGTCGAGACGCAGACTAATTAGAGTCCGACAGTCCCCTCGCCGGCTGGGCGGTACCACCAACTTCAGACGAGCTGGCTCTCCCCGGGTGCTCGGTGGTCCCCTCCCCAATTATGTTTCCTCATATTTATATTTATGTTATTACGATAAAATAATCTAGTCAGAACTGTTATGTTATTACAAAGGAAAGAAACTAAGGGTAGAGGGATCAAGTTAAGAGAATAGCTAACTCTTCTGACTTGACACCTGGATATTCAAATGAGCAGCTGAAGAACGCGCGACCACCATATTCAACTCAATGGGATCCCTTAGGCGAAGTGAGCTCATGCAACCACTGAGGGCGGAATTTCGACGATTTTTACATTTTGAGAGAAAATTATGAGGACGTCTGTTCGTAGGCTCGTAACTCGGCGAACTTTATAGACTGGAGCCTGAGCATGCACCTTTTGATAGCACAGTTCCCATTGATTTTGACTTGGAAAAGCAAGCTGGCTAGTTTTCTGACAAATTCGCGAAAAGTGCAGGCAAATCTACGAACTTTCGTGACTCAGTTACAGTCACCTCACAATAACTCTACAAAAAGACCCTGTCTTTTTCAAAGACCACTATTTTCGTAAACAGCGTGTTCGAAAACCTCTTTGGGCGAAGTTTCTTTACAATCCAAGGTCATCGACATTTTGACCAAAACCCATCGGCGAGCTTCAGGGCGTAGAACGAGAAAAAATCGAATCACCCAAATTTCTTTGAAAACCTCATAGAGGTTATCTGACCTGCTGATTACGAAAATCACATCTGCTTAGCAGTAGAGCTTCTCATTTTAGGGTCACTGTGGGCAAAATTTGAGACAACACGATTTTCCAGAATTCACCAGCTCTTCTATCTTTTCTCAAAAAGATTCTCCGGTTGCTTCTTAGCGCTCGATAATCTGCGGAAGCAGCACAATCCAACAGTGCTTAATAGAGTCTTTTATGTTTGATGTGCGCTGCGTTGCGACCTTGTGAATATACGCGCGCAGAATTGTGAAAAAATTGAAAACGGAAATTCAAGAACATGCTGTATACCGTAAGATTCGACTTGACAAGATGAACACAAATCTGCTTTCTGATTTCGAAAATGTTCATTCTAAAGAAAGTTACGGCTAGTAAAACTTGGAACAGCTTAATTTTTCCGGAGTTTATCAGCTCTTCTATCTCTTTTGAAAGGGAGTTTTCGGCTGCTGTTTAGCGCACGATAATCTAGTGAAAGAGTACTATCGAACGGTGCCCATGGTAGTCTCCTATGTGTGATGCTTGTTGCGTTACACCCATGCGAAGAGGCGTCGGCATGCAAATTCAAGATTATTGAAAACAAGATATTGGAGACAATCGTAATGTCAAAAGATTTGCCTTGACGAGCTGAATACAACGTTGATTTCGGATTTTGATTATACTCATTCGGAAAAAAGTTATGGCCCTGCGTAATTTGCGTAATTCACATGAATTTCGCGGAATTCCCGGAAATTTTGCATGTTCTGTGAGTGGTTTTGTACTATAAGAGATAGAGCAATAAAAACTCACACAGCGTTTTCTAAAGTACATTTCTTATTGTATATCAAAAATGATCAATTTTGTGTCGTCAGTGATAAATGATAAAATGATGATATCAATGGCAACGACAGATAAGAATGGCTTAAATTCATGCCGTCGATTTCCACGTTCATCTTCCATATAGGTACAGAATTTCAGCCCAGGCTTCGGCATGAAGCGAGTTGAAGCAAATTGCCATTCTAGGTAAGAATTGGCAGCAATGGCATGTGCCGATGAAAAATCGATCGATTGCTGCAGCGAGGGATCTACCAATTGCACCGAGCAATAGAACTAGAAAAGCCTGTAGATCACTTATAATGAGAGAAAGAGCGATAGAAATTCACACAGCTTTTCCTACAGTACTTTCCTTACCATATGCAAAAAATGATCCAAAGATGTGTTATTATCAGTGATAAATGATAAAATGCTTATATCAGCGATGAGGGTAGATAAAAACTGCCCAATTTTTCGCGATAGTTTTCGATAACGAGAGCTTCGTACCAGAACCTCCTATACGCGATTTACACTGTGATAAATGTTCACAAAAGCCTTAACGTAGAAAACAACAAGGTATCATTGTATGTCTACCCCGTCACTATGAACTACGGACATACCGTATATCAAAAGATTCGTCTCATCAAGCTGAAGCCAAATCTTCACTCAGATTACAAATAAAGCTATTTTAAAAAAAGTTATAGCTAAATCCCGCTTATCCCGCAAATCCCGCGAATCCCGCAAATCCCGCGAAGTCGCGAATCCCGCGAATCCCGCGAATCCTCCCGCGAATCCCGACAATCCCGCAGTTTTGGACAAATTCCACCGCTGCAACTGTACCAGGATTATGTCGTTGATGCCTCTCGCTGATACATATGGAGCCTTCAAATAAAGACAATGCGCCTTGAGTGATAGAAGTTGATGGTCGCTGATTTCACAGGAAGCGTTAGTGTAAAAGAGTGGAGCCGACTTCATCTGACATAAAAGTCATCCTTACTAAATTTTGAAAGCTTGGGAAAACCACACCGTTTCGAGATCAAATATGTCGGAGTCTATGAAGACATTGGCAGGTATGTTGAAAATATCGCTATCATATGTCCAAAGCCTACAACCAGGGTTTACATGAGGGATGAGTGAAGTAAGAACGGCAAGACTATGCGCATGAACGGTGAGCCGTTCGCATGAAAGTGATGCCGTTTTCGGTAGTTCATCCAGCACATGTCGAACTTCCGTTCTTACTGAGCCCTGAAAGTAATTTTCAATCATGAAGGAAAAATTGTTGCTAAAATGGCTCACTATCTCCATTGATATTTGCTCCGATTTCATATATTTCGTCATATTGAAGAGGACCCGCATCGAAACCGCATAGCAGGACTCGTTTGCATATGTCGGTCCCGTATTTGCTACTCGCAAATCATCTTCTCTTCAAAATGATTGTATTATTTATAAGTACACCTGCATTGATCATTACCTGCTCACCGTGCATCCTTCATTGATGTTGGTAAACCTAATGGTATAATTTTTTCGCAAATCCGGGTCGGTGGTACCGCGCGGCAAATAGTAGACGATGATAGTTGCCGAACAATTTCCCATGTTGGCCTGAAAATTAGACCAGCCACTGTTACACTAGGTACAGTGAAAATGCTCTCAAAAATATGTGCAATGCACTTCTACAACCAGGAAGAGGTCGAAAACCAAATAATTCCCTTACATTTTGCCGGATTCTATTCGGTTCATGTAGAAGGAAGACACCATTAACTTCAGGCTTCAATTTCGATGACAAAGCCATGCACTCCTTGCTGAGGAACATGAAGTTTCTCAAGGTTGGAAAAGGCAGATTTCGCAGAACTTCTATCTTTAAATGGTATGGCAAATCGATCCAATAGGTGAAAGTATCCTTACAAACGTCGACGGCAGAGTCTGGGAGCATTGAAGCCCCTCCCATTTCTGAAACCAGAATTTAGGATTCTAGAGCAACCATGCGTACCTTTTGATTCAACGAGATTGGCAGCTAAAAGACGGTCGCTTGCGCTGACGCAGTCTGCGCCTCTCTCGAGAAAGTGCTCTCTAATCATCCTCTAGCCTTAATTAGATCACGAAGCCAGCCTTCCAGCCGCCAATCCAATTAAATCAAAGGATACTTTTGCAACCTATAATTAGAGATTCAAACTGCAAGATTATGGCAAAATAGGTACTGTAAAAAAGGAAGTTGAATCGAATAAGAGACTGCTTATCGTGATTCCACTTTGAAAAGGGCGTACGGAATTTTCTCATATCTCAATTTTTCAAAAGATACAGGGTGCCCCAAAAAATTGTGCACGCTGTTTGATCATTAGTAACTTCCTTGCTTTGGTGTCTTTCGCTGACCTTTAGGTACTTTTGCATAGAGCGTGGTTCAACTTAGATTTACAGTATGGAGCGAATCACAATCGCTCTTCGTTACTGTAGGATTACGGTAAGAACTTCCAGCATATGGAAATTGTGAAACATGCCATCTGACAAAATTTCTTTTCGAAAAATCTGAAAAATTGTGTACTAAGGTTTTCACACAGTTTGATTCTAATATAAAACTTTTTACGTGTGTTTTTGGCTTTTTTTACGGTGTAATCACATTTCTGGCAAATGCTGGGAATTGAGTCATTACGGTTTACATGGAATAACTTAGGTTAGAAGCATCATAGTGAAGTGGAAGTTTCATATTTGAAATCAGCAGCTTTCACTCCATAGTATAACGATTTTAACTTGTTTGGCTTGTTCCCAGGCAGAATATGGTCTCCAAAGGCCTAAAATATCTGTTTGAAGTTCCATCGGCAATCTTACAGTAATGAAGAGCAATCGATGTTTCGCTCACTGCAAATCCAAGTTGAACCTCGCTCTACAGAATGGTACCTGAAGGTCGGTTAGAGACATCAAAACAAGGAAGTTATTAACGATCAAACATGTGCACATTTCTTGGGACACCCTGTATTCCGAAAAGCCACTTGGAGAAGCGGAGAATTAGCATTCATGGGAAAATTTTGCTTGGTGTGGATCATCGAGTACCCTCCAAAACCCGAAAAGATTTCTGAGGCCAGCAAATGTTGGAGAAGTAGAATCAGTGTATGCAAATATGCAATCATCTCAGCGATCAAGCATGGCGACATGTGTAAAGTGGAAGAAAAGCTTCCAAGGTAAAACTGAATATATTCTACTACATATACTGCCACTCTTAGTATATGTTCAGGAATGAACGAAAACCGAAAAGAGCTAGAATAACATTTGCCAAACTTGCTTGAGTACAACCAGCATGCTGAATGATAACATCAGGGCCGATAGTAATCCCCGCGACCTGGCGGCATGTTTCGCCTTCAGGTCGCCGTCACCTTTACATGAAGTCGGCGGGAACACCAACCCCAAGGTATGTGCCCTCCAAACCCTTTTCACCACGATCTTCTTGGTCGATCAGGTCATGCAGGTCATTGTGACTTAAGAGAACATCACTTGGCAATTGAAGATTCAACCCCCCCCCCTGAACAAAATTGTTGAGGTAGGCAGAAAGTGCTGGTGGCAACTTCGCGACCACCTGGCGGCATCTCGTGAAAATTTTAGCGCTGAGGGATGCCGCCAGATCAGAGAGCGCGAGAAATAGCGTGCTCATTTGAGAGTTCAAGGTGCCACCTCCCCGGCGTGCCCACACCACGTCGAGGTGGCGGCACCTTTGCTGGCGCCGTCTTGAAATTGCGTTGCGCGGCAATATCACACAACTTACGTCCAGCAAAAAATAAGAAAAATTTAATTTCTGCTGAAAAACTATCACTTTTGTCATTGTATGGGTTTTTTTCTCCAAATTGATGATATGCATGCACAAGAAACATCTAGTGATATTATGAAACCATAAAGAACGCCATTTTCATTTTGCAATTGCTAAAAATCTCATTTGCAACGATTTCGTCTCTCGCTCGCTCTTGTCAACCAGTTGTTTTTTCAGCAGCGTGATGTGTGCCAACTTGGCGGCATCTTTGATGCCGCCAAGTACGGTAGATTACTACCAGCCCAGGAAGCAGCTAGTCAAAAATAGGCCTCATAATTTAACGCACAGAGCAACGATAACTTCGTCCTATGAGGGATAGGTAGATTGCTCTATATAAGCTAGTGTACTATGATTGCATAGGGGAAGGGTGGAATGCTACATAATAGGGCTGAAAAAATATGTGCCGGTAGTTTTCTAGGTATTTGTAATCAAAAATAACTCTGCGAATTTGCAAAATAAATTGAACAATACAACAAATTTCGTTTTTTTCAACGACGGCTAATTTGAAACATATTAGCATGAACTCTTAAATTACGTTGATATCTATTCAAACTTCTGCAGATGAATAACGGCAACAGCGATAAAAAAGACTACATTCGTTTTGTCCTCTACTTTCGGATAAAAACATAGTTTGCGTACAAGCACTGTTCACTGATTGAAATAATCCTCGATAAACGCAATTATAAAGTGTGCTAATAGAATCTCATAATTCGCTTTAGAAGGAGTAAGTTAGGAAAGAGTCACGAATAAATGTTCATTACGTTCTCACAACCTCTGGATATTAAAGAATATCTAAACAATCTGCACTGTTACACAAAATAAGGTCTTAAAACATGGGATCTAGGAATCAAGTATAATGTTTTCTTGGGAGTTCTGGTTTCCTGAATATAGCTGCTGCAGCTTCATTCCGATGAGCTATAACTCCCCACAAAACAGTAGAATTCAATTTCAGATCCAAAGCACGTGTACAAGTTTCTAAATGTGCGGCGTCTCATAAGACGTTGATATGTTCCTATGTAGTACGAAGTGATCAAGGTGTCGTTAGAAAAAGCATTTTACTCTTTATAGCAAGATTAATGCCAAACAGGAACAAGAAGAAGAAATCACGATTTTTTGAAAATGGTGCCCAGCACTTTCGGACCAACCTACATATTGACTAAGTTTTGAAACCCCAAGCTGAAGAAAAAACAGAAAATTGCTTTGTTCGGCAAGAGGTTTGCAATGTCTACCAAAGCTCCCGGAAATCTCAAATAAATTTTCAAAAATCAACGAAAGTTGGACATGGTGAAAATAGCAAGATTAATGCCAAACAAATGGTTGTTCTCCAGCGATTATCTCAGCACTCTCTCTACGATTCACATTTGGGACATGGCAACAAGAAAGATTTATCGATGGATTAAAAAATTACAGAATTTTTGCACTCTAATAACAACAATTATTTGATTAGGAATCTTCGAAAATTTGGTAAATGACAGTCTCAATTATCTCACAATCAGCTGAAAAAAAACCTTCATTTCCAACCAGTCAGCACCGGCGGAGATGTGAGACGGAGTAAAATGAGTATCGTCTTCTTTTCTACTAGACTAAGCTTCACATTCTTGATTCAAATGGCGACTTGATGGTATTTCGGAAACTATGCCAATCTCGAAAAAGATAAATTCGACAGAAAACCGTTGCCCGGAAAAGAGTCAAGAAAAACAGGCATTGAACTGCACCTGATGGAAAAACTTATTCAAGGAAATTAACCCTATGAGTGAAAAAAAATTTCATAGACATAATAGAGAAATTCAAAAAGGAAAGGTATGAGTTTGACAAAAAGAAAGGCATGAGATTCACCAAGCATTTGCGAGGCATTTGACGATTGAACAAGTATCGATTTACATTTTGAGTCGCTCTTGCAACCATGGTAAATAGAGAACAATGGGCACTTTGCTGGCCATTGTTAAACTATAACTTTGCTGAAAAGTCGCGAAATAAGCTGTCAAGGAAAAAATCCAAAAACAGCTGGTTTTTGTTCTTCGATGGAAGCTGTGGAGCAAGTTTGAAAAAAAATCAATATGTCTGCACTGCTGCTGAATTTGCAAAATGGAGGTTGTTTGACGGCAATTTTTAACGAGATTATAGGAGTTGATTTCCATTGCTAAACTAGACCGTAACAAGACAAATTTCTCTTTCACTGCCTACCTTGTTGTGGAAAATCAAATTAATTGCACAAAATTGACAGAAATGACTGTCTATACGATCGCATTTTCCCCCTTTTCATCTACAGCAAGCACAGATTGCTATATAATTATTGTCGGTTTCGTTTGAGGACGGGCAATTTTGGGCCAAAATCGATGCTCCATTTAGAATCGATGGGGTCGTGGGCGCAGCGGCTGCGCCCACCAGTCAGCTGATCGTTCACCTTCATCATGCATCGCATAAACATGGTCCGGGGGTTCAGATCGGATCCGCACGGTCGGACTATGTGCTTTGCTATGAGAAGATGCAGAATGTGAGTTCTTTAGAGTATATATTCTGTTTGAAATTTAAAATTTTGTTCTTTTCATTCTTTAAACATTATAGGGCCCGATATCTGATAAGAGAACGTCCGTCATGCTCATCAGCTGATTATGTAGTAGAAGAAATGGTTACGAAGCTGAAAACCTTGGGTATAGCTCAGAAAAATGAGTCCCGCAAGGTTCGTCATTGGCAGATTATGCCGTTTTTGGCATGATTACTGATTCCGTAGACGCGTATTCATGATTATGGATCTGGGTTATATGTATGGTCCAGTCCTGGAAAATGTGCTCCTTATGCAGTACCTAAGTAAGTTTTTTTTCAGTTTTTACTGTTTTTGGCAGTTTATCCCTTGAATCTTCTGTTATTGTCAGCTTAGTTCATTTGTTTACCATTTATACAGCTAATTATCCTTTCTTGAGTTTGATCTTTCCAGAAAAGTAAAAAAGCCCGAAGAGAACACTGATGGTCTATACTCCCTCCTGTCTGGTGTGCGTTTTGGCGCCCACTTGGACGTTGCAAATCTTCGCCTCCAATTGATCGAGTATGTTTTTCTTGGATTATTTATCGTTCTGAATGCTTAGATTTCATTCCAATAGAAAAGTTTAGCACATATTATTACAGGGATCCTCTGAAGACGGCAATTCCACATAGAAGACGATATTTGCGGTTCGGAAGTTATTTTTGTGCCAAGCATGATGAACGTTAAGTGCCTCTATGTCATCTCATGTACATATATGTAGCTCTAAGCAATGAAGATTTTGCATCATTATTTCTGTTTACACATTCTATTACACAACATTACGAAATAAAGCGTGAACATTACGAAATCTAGTCGTGCAACCATCATGCAGTGTTTGCACAAGTTGTTGATAGGTCGTCTTCCTGACTCACTCTAGTCGCATGATGTTCCTTTGATCGCTTCTGTAGAGCCTGAAGTTGCTAGGTGATTCCTATATCAAAGTCTGGATCTGCCGAAAATGCTGTAAGGACAGTGAAATAGTAGAATTTGTTCCTGAGAGAGGTGGCTCTTCATTTTCTAAGGGATCCGTCATACTTCGCCGAAAAAAACTCAAAAGCGCCCAAAAAACCCAAAAAAAAGCGCCACAAATAGCCGGAAACCCCCTCGTAAGCCTTTGCGCTAAGATGTGTGTTGATTTCGCAACCGAGTCTATTTGGTTCAATTTCTGTCGTCTGCCATCAAAAAATGTTAGAATCCTACCAAAAGTTCGCTTCTGCGTTCCGGCTTTTCTGGCTTTCGGGGTTTTTTGGGCTTTTTTTGAGCGCTCTTGGGCTTTTTTGGCACTTTTGGGCTTTTCTCGGCGAAGTATGGCGGGTCCCTAATGCATAGCGCAGTCGCCTTTGATAACGTCTGCTCACTTGATAGCCATCGATAGCTTCATCTATAAACTAGGGCGTTTTCCTTAAATCGTATGAAAGTGAAGCTTAGGCCCGTATGCACGTACATCCCCGCGGGGAGGGGATGTGCGCTTAACCATTGAAATGATCCCCGCTGGGGATCCCTCCCCTCCCCGCGCGAACCCCCGTATGCACAAAGACAATATCGGACGAGGGATCCCCTGTGGGGAGGGGAAGTGAACCCTCTTATGCACAAGAGGGGATCAAGCGGGGAAATCACCTTGCTTTCAAATTTTCTATGAAAAACTCTTTCTTATTTCATATTTTGACCGCAACTCATCTTCATCTCCTCACTTTCATTAATTTAGGGTTGCGGAATGCGCGTATGCAGTGACTGCGCTCGGGGCACTAAAAATGATTTTTTCTACTCCCATTATGTTCCCGCTTTCTCGGATGCTGCCCACTTTCGCTCATGCTGTTCCATTTCAGCGTAAAAATGTTGAACTATAGAAGCTGTTGTGTCTCTGCAACTAAATGGGTAGAAGACGTTATGCTGCCGAAAAGGGGGGGGGGGGTGCCGCGCGGACGCTCAAAGCAGTATTCTAATACATAACAGAAGCTGCAAATTGTGCCAGCTCTCCATAAACGCTGTAGCTATCAGCTGCATATCGTCCTTTATCCCAGGGGAATGATCCCCAGCAGCCATCCCTGCTATGCACAAGGGGAACGCTGGGGAGGGGATCACTCCCCAGGGGATTTCTACTCAGAAATAGGCAAATATGCTACTTTCTAGATTTTTTCGAGGCAGCTTATGTTAAAATAACAAGATAGTAGCAACATGTCATGAAATATGAAAGTTACAATGTGTTTACTCAGCCTATATAGTTAAAACTATTATGTTATATGAAAAATGCGCAAATTTCCTGAATGATCAAGAACTCCTACAAATAATCGAAATTGACAGCTATTGTTGCTCGGATTTCTTCTCAAGAGGCGAATATAGAAAAGAAAGACAAATTGCAAGCCACAGGTCGCTGAGAGAAGAACCCAGCTTTCAAACAAAATCCTCCATCAAAATGAACGAAATGCTTGGTAATGACTGGGCAAAACCAGAATATCCGCGTCTCTGTCATGATCTACACCATCGAACCCCTACTTCGTTGCAGGGGATGTCGATCCCCTCCCCCGCGTTATTGAGTTGAATTCGCGCATACGGGGTTCGAGTGGGGGAAGGGAAGGGATCCCCTCCCCCATTCGAACCCCGCTGCACTGGGGTTCGCTCGATCAATACCTCTAAAACCATTCACACCATCCCCGCTTAGGTGCAGGGGAGGGGATCGCTCCCCTCCCCTCTGTCATAGCGGGGTTCGGCGGAGGGGATCGTTCCCTTGGGGATCCAGCTCCCCTCCCCTCCCCAGCGGGGACGTACGTGCATACGGGCATAAGTCATTATAGCCTGTCAAGGGTCATTTGTTAAGCTGGACACTGCCTGTTCATCATCCCAATTATCAGCGAAGACTTGCGGAAAGATGCCATGATACTTTAGGAATTATTTCGCATGGCCCACTTTCGCGCTCCATGGCTAGTATCATCACGCGCAAATGCTGCAGGCTACGCAAGAGCATATCAACCATCAAAATCCGCCCATTACCGATTGCGATTAACTGTTAACGCCTTCTCTTAAATGAGTACACCAACCTTTAGATAGCCAGTTTCACAGTATCAGTATAACCCCGTCAATACAACTAGGGTAAGGTAGGTGCCAGAATAAGCGAATATTTTGTTCAGGTTGGGGTCCCGCGCAGAATTGACATCACTTGGATTGACGCCAGCATGGTGAGTGACGTCCATTCTGCGCGGCCCAACCTGAACAAAATATTCGCTTACTCTGGCCCTACCAAAAGACCGGCCATACTATTCCTGTGATTCCTGCATTCCTTCGCTTCCTGTGATTCCTGCGGGTCCCGCAACAATGTATATTCAATGTATACTGAAGTTCGCAAAGCGCTCCGTACAGCGGCACATCGGAAGTCGAGGAATCGCACAATTGCAGGAATTACAGGAATCGCAGAAATCACCTCCTGGAATAGTATGGCCGGTCCCTAAGGACTGCTTTAGACAATGAAGTATGTGGGGAATACTGCTCACAGACCTATTATAAAGGTGTCAAATATCATAAGTAAGCGATATCACCCTCGAGCTTTTCAAAATAGCTCAAGTGAGGGAAACTCAATGGCAAAAAAGCTTTTGACAGAGAAAATATGATCAAGGAACTTGTTGCTTGGTAAACAATGGCTGCAAACTCATCGACCCTCACGATAAGGCACGGTACTCCAGAACGTCTGGAAGTAAACTGACTTGTCTGCTGGTTTTTGTTGCTTGCACTGCTCTTGATCTTTTTGTCCACTCTATAGCACGACTAGTCTGAGCACGCATTGATTCTCGTCTCTTAGGCGCATTTGTGTCTGAGTATTCTATGAGAAACGCTTCAAAACATTCGCCGTTAGGTGCATTGCATTTTTCTTGAGTATTTTCAGTCGCGCGAAAACATGACCGAGGATTCCATAATCGTCTGTTTCAGTATTGTTGAGCAAGTGAAATGTACTTGTTGCACGTATTTTCTTGAAAATAGGGCCATTTTTATAGCGGACATAATCTTCCCGAAACTAGTTTCCCGCAGGCGACTCATGGAAAAATATGACCTATGCGAGATCTTTCGCTCCAGTGCATCTCTCGCGTGCGGCTTTGGTGACATTGCGTAGTGCGGGTGTTCGCGTAAATTCGTCACATCTGCCAGCTGGTAGCAATATTGATCGCATCGCACTTCTCTTTTCACTTTTATCAGTTTGCAATTCACTTCCAGTTCCATTTAGATCCTGTTTCAAGCCGCTTGCTCTCTGGTCACTTCGTTTCGCCTATCAATCATTGTTTTCGTTAGTGTTTGCAAGTCCTTCAGTTTTATCTTTTGCAGTTATGAATCAGGATTCCGCCGCGGATGACGCGAGCACCTCATCTGGCCCGTCTGCAGATGCTGTACTGGATAAAACTATGAAAATTCTTGAAGATCTTGTACTTGACTGGGAAAGCAAGAAAACTGGAGAGGTTAGTTTTCAGCTTTTTTATTCTCTTCACGTGACCTTGCTTTTCGGTCACATGTCCGCCCTTCGCGCAAAAAAAAATTACGTTATACTAGAGAAGAAAAATGTTATGACTGCTATTCTGGTAAACAAAACACATCAAAGGGAGCTTTGATGTAGAGTTAGTGCTGATCGTGCCATTTCTCATTTTGTTCTGCTTCTTGGTTATGTTTTTCCCAAAATTAACATCTGGGTCTAGTTGCACCGACATTTTCTGCAACACTTTTGCAACCTGCGCTTGATTTTTCATTCAATTGTGCATGTTAAGTTTCTTTTCGCAAAAAGATTCTCTGCTAATTAGTATTCCTTTTTTTATGAGTTACTGTGCGGTTTTTCATGATTAGCTTTGTATAGTAGCAACCGTTTATATGATCACTGCATCGGTTATTGTAGCTTCAGCTTGGCATGTCTTTTTGAAAAGTTCTGCACAGAACTATTAAATTTGACTGCATGCAAGTTATTCGGACAATTTGCTGAACTTGTCCTTTGCCTTCTTTCCAGAATACGTTTTTGAGTGTTGCTATTGCTATATGATTACAGTAATGCAGTTATTTGATAATTAAACTCAGCGTTTATCTTGCGCGTGTGGTAATTTCCTTCATCAGAATACTTATTAACTCCAAGTTTTCTTACTTAGACAATCTCATAACATATTAAAAATTAGCACCTCTTCTATCATGTAACTGTTATACGTCCTGATGTGCATTTTTGCCTGCTTTAGAAACTGAGCACGCAAAGCTGATTGAACTTTCGAATAAAACACTCATTCACACGTGAAAGGACTGCTGTAGCTTTCATATGATTGAAAAACCGCATCGAATTCTTTTAGTCAAACTCGCATGGAAAGCGATACACGAGTAGGAAGGAGGTTACGGCGAATCCTAAGCAACATCATCAACCATTTTGGAAAAGAAAAATGAAGTGGATGCCATATGCGTTACCTAGGTAAATGATTTGAGGATCTTCTATCCATAATCTTAATTAGCAATGACGGCAATTTTTTTTTCAGGAGGATACACAAAAAACTTGTCGTTGACGACTTGTACTCCATCCTATGCAAAATTCACTTTTACGATGATGTCGATGTAGAAGTGCTTCGTATGTGCTTATTAGAAGAAAGGTATGTTCTCAAATCCGTAGTTGTCTTAACCTCGGATGTTTTAAATAATGTTTATTTCAGACGTGATATACCGATAGCATGCAGTGTACAAGCTGCGCGTCCACCCACCCCAGATGGTGAATTAGATGAATTGTCAGAATATTTCACTCATTTTGTACGTGTAGAACTGAAGATGTCTTCGCTAGCAGAGTCTATGTATGTCTAATTAGAACATGTGCACTTGTATAGTGTGCTTTCTTAAATATTGCTCGAATTGTTATTCAGCCCTCTGTCCTCAGGTAAAGCAGTATTGTTGAGTCTGTCACTTTAAATCTAACTCAGAATGTCTTTTGAAGTGTCTCCCGGTCGTTCGTGTAGTGAACACTGCTCAACATTTTGATTTGTTGATAAGACGCCTTTGATTGCACTGCTTTTAAGTATGTATTATATTTATGCAGTTAGAATTACATGCACTGTTATGACAGTTATACACCATGTAAGTAATGTAATAAATAGTAAAAAGAAATGGAGATTCATCAACATGTGAAAATTATAGTTATGACTAGTAAATATGGAACTTATCTATTTCATGAGTAGTGAAAAAAAGCTGCTCAACAGCATCACAATCTTCAAAAGGTTATACTTAGGGTTAACTAGCACGCTGCAATCCTACACGTGTCTGCCTTGATGTATTTTTGAGTAAGTACCTGTTGAATTGAAGAAATTCATAAATGGGATGGTGTGACCTGGTCTTCTGCATTCCCTTCGCAAGCCACGTAGCACCATGCTCTTCTGCGAACATTTCACCTGCACGACATTTGCGTATATAGTGCATGCGTTCCATATGCGACAGCTGAAAACATGAAAAATGTCATTTATATAAAGGTGTCAGTGGCGTACCGAGTGGGGGAGAGGCCCCCGAGAAGGGTAGCGAAATTTTTGAAAGTTACATGGGCTAAAATCGTGCAAATGACTTGTCTGCACTTGTGAATAATTAAAATATTTTTTAGAAAACTTTAAAAATTAGTTTTAGCCTTATAAAAATTTTTTCGGGGGCATGGCTGACGCCTGAGCTCGCGAAAATTTCAAAGGGCATACCAAAAAATTTTTCGGAGTGCGTGGCTGACGCCACGCACCTTCATCGAAAAAAGATTTATGTCGCCCCCCACCCTCCCCCCGGGCCGAAATCCTGGGTACGCCACTGAAAGGTGTGACAATGTACCCATATTCCAAAGCAATCTGAACCTCTACAAAATGTATTCATATGATGCAAATTCACCTGCTTCTCGATATGATTATTCATTCTGTGACCAACAGACTCGAAATCGCTCCGCACACATTCCAAAACAAGATTGGTCGCGTGGTTATAATACCTTGATCTAGCTTATTTAGGGTTTCTGCTATTTGGAAAAGGGAAAGAACAAGTTCAAGCTTGTCTAGACAATGTATCAAAGCGGTTTCGAGTATCTTAACTATGATTGATACATAATGTGATTTTATTGCAACTTACCCCACGACAACGATTCCTGCGAACCATTCCTTCCCATGCATAAGTGCAGCGGGTAGGTATAGTACTGCCAAATACCACAAACTCTCCAGCTACTTCGGGACTTCGCATTCGAACATTACGTCTCAAGAATAAACGACCTGTAAGGAACTCTAATGTAGATAAGCATTAAAACAAAGTGACGATGGCTTACTTCGCTTTAGCGCAACGGAAGTGCTTGTAGATGACTGCGGGCCACCAGAATTTAGATCTGTAGCTCTGTTTCTTTTCGAAAGACCATTTGGTTTCATAGCTTCGGCGCTACCATTCTGACGACGATGTTCTTCATCAGTGGACTTAACAAATAATGTTAAAAATACGTTGTAAGCAATGAGGAAGCAAGAAAAAAGGAGATGTTGAGCACCACCTCATGTTGCTCCGATTCATCATCACTGCTGGCTGCTTCTGGTGCAACATTTTCGCTGGCCTGGGCTGGCTCCTCTTGGGCCTCTTCCTGAAATCACAAATATTGAGATTTCTTTTTGTTGAAGCTAGAAAAAAAAGACTCACTTCTGTCTCCGTATCTACGAGTTCTATTGTGACAACGGGTTTCTTCTCATAAATCACAAAAATCTTGAAACAGTTCTGGCAGTTAAAGAAAGTTTCAGCAGATCGTGCATACTCTTCCTCCGTCCTGAAAAGAATTGTATAAAATTTTCTGACTAAAAAAGCACAGAGGTTGGATACTTCGCTTTCTTTTGCGATTGACTGAATACTGAGATTGGCTTCTCGTAGCGGTACTTCTGATATAGCTTCATGGTTTCTAAACCATCAGGGCCAGTAGCCAGGAAATGCAATTGTCGGCCCACCATGGCGATCAGCTTGTCTATTGTAGTCATAAGGTAGCCATCTATCGGAAAGAGGAGTCTGCAAGTGATCAAGTAAATATATGGCCAATAAGGCTTATTCCCCTAGATATAAGTGTAACCTAAACCATTCTGTCATCTATCTAAGACACTTACCAGTATAGACAGATGCATAAACGAACGACAAGAATACAAGGAGAGATTTGGTGCAAAAATCCTATAAATGGTAGTAGGTAACTCACCGAACATTGTCCTCGAATGTATTTGAGTCGATATTTCCGTCCAGAAGATTCTTGATCTCTGAGAGCAGATCAGCGTAGTTAGAAGTAGGGTTACGTCGCGGAGTCTAAACACAAAGCATAACGAACCAAATTTTTGCTGCATTAGCATCACAAAATGGTTTGATTTATGGTGGATAAATTTGAATTTTGAGTAAGGAGACACAAGCAGCATGGTCAACAGTAGCATCGATTATTTGAAATGAAAAAAAAAACAGTGGAAAAAATTAGGATGCACACCTTAATAATTGCCAATCCATTATTTGTATCACTTGCATTCTGCTCGTGACTACCAAGGCCTTTACCATGTATCTTGTATAACTCAGCTTGTTTAGCAGCCACTTTCAACTCCTCCTGGAGCATAAAAGTTAGCATATAGGCGATGATGGCAACTAAAAAGGAGAGCAACTTACCTCATAAATTTTTATTTGTTCATGATGCTTCTGCTTTAGTTTTCCCAGTCGATCACAGATCATTTGATGGATGCGGAAGAATAAGAAAAGTGAATTTCCGCCATACACAAGTCTATAATGGGCTGTCGGTGCCAACTTCGGAGGTTCGTCATCCGGACCATCTCCCCTATAGAGCGTTCTTTATCATACTGGTGTATACATGAGTTAACAAAACCCACATCCGTCGCTTTTTCGGTGGTCCAGCACCAATCAATGGATCGTTGTTCTCCTCGCCATCACTCATTTCCTCGTCATCGATGCCAAACCATTCCGTTACACATCTGTAACAAATTATGCATGCAAATGGCTGCCAACATGATAACAGATATATGAATGGTTAAATTAACTTAAAAACAACAACAAACAAATATAAAAGGAACAGAAGCAGAAACTTGCACGAACACAAATAAAACGAGATTGCTGTACCTTCTCAGTATGCTCTTGATCTTGTTCTTCTCCTCTTTGTGAATATTTGACTGCCTTTTCACATAATGAATAATGAGGTTGGACGTATCATGTATGATAGATCTATCTTCTGGATATAGCATGACCATATGTGGTCCGACATCTTCACATTGGCCTTCTTCTGATCTATATTAGATATGTTTAGTGTGAAAGCAAAGCGCCAAAAGTAAAAAATCCTCACTTCTGCTGCCTTTCATCGAACATAACTTCTATATGATGGAGCAGCGCCTTTGCTTTGATCCACTTCGAATCGCTATTGCGTAGTGCATTAGTTTGATGATCAAGCGAGCGCATCATATGTTTTTCGTTTTGTTCACGCCAGATTCTGAAAGTAAATTCATTTCCAAATTTCGATAACTAACTCAAGACTACGAACTCACCTATTCATTTGCACTTGTGCTTCTCTCCATTCTTTTTCCTTGTCGCGCATGCGATCGAGCACCTAGAAAAGTTGAATAGACAATCTCCAATATATATATATGCAAAGTATTACCTTCGGGATTGTCATTGAGGGATTCCTTTTGATACCCTCCGTAATCTTTGAAGCATGTTCTCCGTATATCCGCTTTATAGCACGTAGCATGAGTGAAGGAGAGCTACCACCAAGTTTCTCATCAAGTCTGAAGAACGTGAATCACATATTTTCTCAAGAATAGTTATAAGCATTTATTTCTCACCTGAACTTGTCGAGTTCAGCGGGAGTCATGCGCTCCATGCGTCGACGAACAAGTTCGAGAGATTCGATAGCGTACTTGTTCACATCAATTATAATGTCAAGCTAAATAAGAATATAATTTTCGAACATTTTTCATAATGATAGCGTTACAACTAACCTCAAAACGCTCATCTTCTGTGCGATATATAAACTCTTCATATTGCGTCTTTTTTGACGATACATGGGTGGAATCTTCAGAAGACCATGACGGAAATGAGACCCATGTGTCGTTCAACACCTAAGAAAAGATAATGCGCCGGTTGAAGATTAAAGAAAAAAAACAGACATACTTCGTTACATAAGGGGGTTCTTCCAGAACAAGTCGGTCGCTTGAAGCTATCCGGCAGACTTCTGTATGGCAAAATTCAATTCATGGTAAAACGTAATTCAGCATGAAAGCAGATATAGGAAGAGGAGGAAGATTCACCTGTAACTGACGCCCAGTTGTTTGCAGCTTGAGTAGTCGATCTGATGTGCAAGATCGCCAGAAAACCGTTGTTCGATGGTTCCAGCTGTTGCTTGAGCATTAGAGTCATCTTCCACACCAAGAATCTTACGCAGACCATCGAGAAGATGGGCTTGGTTTCCTAGAATAAATAATACTGTGTTCCGTCGTTTATTACAATGAAAAAACCTTTGATGTGAAAAAATAGTTTTGCGCATCCTGTTAATCTATGAGCTTATGGCCAAAGCGCAACAAGACTAATGATTGTGATAATGACCTCAGCAATCTTGTTGCGTTCAAAACTTCTCAGATCTTCAATCTATGTGAAATAGAAAAGAAATGATGAAACAAACAAAAACTTTGTTAGAAAATATGACCGGAGTTTTTTCACATGTTATTTGACGCGATTTCAGATTCGATAAAAAAGAAGGTAACATACCGAAGACATTTTCCAGCATTGTGAGAAGTTCGGTGCCAGATATGATTGATGCACTGTACAAATTGAGAGCGCGAAGAAACGTATCATGCTTTCTTTCATCAAGGCAGCGGCGGATCTGGAAGAATAAGAACATTATGATTCGAAAGAGAATAGACACCCAAAGACTCACCTTGTCAAAGTAGACGATATCTTCTACGCTTGCACTCATTGCCACTTCTTTTATGTCAACATCCCTTTTCCATATGCTAGTATTCGATGATCGTGTGACAGGCTAGAAAAAATAGATTGATGCCTCTTATTCGAATTAGACCAAATTTATGTGAGTGACTCACTCTGGATGCGCTTGTTGTTGCTTTAGCCTTGGCCTTTCTCTTTGGTCTCGCACCTTGTTCCTGTTCTGAGTCAGACACTTCTTCACGAACGAGATCATCGGAATCAGAAGATATGACAACCTCTGCCTGTATGAGAACAATTAAACTAATGATAAGAAAAATCAAATGAAGATGATAAGATTTTAGTGTGGACATACACTCATTTCCTTCCGCTCATTATTATCCCATGGGACATCTGATCCTCCTCTGAAGCCATGAACACCGGGAAGAAAATGGCGGAATTCTTCAAGTAAGTCTGGTTCTTCACCAAACAGAGCTGTAACCTCATCTAGCACAACCTTTTCTGTTTGTGGGGTTCGCGCCTAAATCGGCAGAAATTTGTGTAAGCACTGCACAATTATACGTGAGATAGGAAAGTACCTGCTGATCAACAGTTCTTTGGTACGAATGCAGAATGTCGAGAAATTTCTTATACACAACAGGCTTATTTGCAAAGCGAGCCTGAAAAACAAAGGGTTTGCAGAAAGAAACTTCAAAATCAGTAAATATTACCTTAATACGATTAACATAGCCTATGGCTTCATTAATATCTTGGCTGCTGTGATTCAAAATAGGAGTATTTGTCTGTAAAAAGAGGAAAATGTTTCATAATGATATATTCAAAGCCCAAGAACGACTTACCGCACTGGGAGACGACGCAATAGCTGCTGGAGTAGGTGTACCTTGAGTACTTTCAACTGGCTCTACAATCGGACGTATGGGCTGTACAGGTACTTCTTCTGGCTTGGGTGGTTCTACAACATGCTCCTCGTGTGGAGTATTCATCACGACCTGAGAAGAAGAGATAAATGATTTCGGTAAAGTTTTACAGTAACAAATGTAACCACTAAAAATGGTACCTGGGTATTTCCACTTGGTTCTGTGATTGTAATTCGATTTCCCACAACTCGCACTTCAAATCCTGGTGGAAGGAATGTATTGAAACCCATAATGAGCGCAGATCTCCCATGGAAGAGTCTGCTAACTCTGGTAATGACACCGGGTGTATCGATTCTAAAAGAAAATAAATAGTCCTGAATTTGAGGCATTCAGAAGTTAGTCTTACGCTTGTGATTTGAAATCCTTCATAATGTCTAGAAATTGCGTGTATACATTCGGTTGATCAGCGAATTGGGTCTTTACTTGATCGAGATAAGACAGAGCGTCCTCAACCTAAACACATTTTACGAAGACAAAAACATACGAGAACAACAAGTGCGTAAAATAAATTGAGCACCTTGACTCTGTTTTGGTTCATCCCCTGTGCATTCATATCATACTGATCATAAACATTTGCTCCTGTACCAGATCCACCACAGCTGTTGTACATCCTGAAATCAAAGTCCGCAAGCTTTTCACGATGCGGAAAAGCCAAACTAATTTCGAACGCCAAAAACATTATAAGAGCTCATAAAAAGGTAAATCAATCTATTGCAAGAAACTGAGAAATAAAAGCATAAAAAGCTGCCCTTTTAGAAAAAACCTCACTTGGAAAGAAAAAGCAGACTTGCACTGTATTATCGCAATATGAAAGAATGGGGAGTAAAAGAAAAAGTGGCACTCAAACACCTTGGGTAATAAAACGAATTTCTCACGATTTGCTATACTCATAACTTCAGCGAATGCTCGCACGCCAAAAGGAAGAAAACTCGAACTGCTCACATTTGAACTAAACAACGAACAAAACTGCTGTAGTACGCAATCACGTCCGAGGAGTTTAACGACGTCGCATGGAGACGCAAAGTTTTCTGGGGGTGTGGTGCGGAAGGCGACAATCCCCAGTTTTGTGCCTACCAGAAACTCCGGTGTCAAAGTGATAACCCGGGGGACTACGGGGGTGGGGGGTGGGGGCAGATACATTACTCAGTGCCACAAGTAGAAATCCGTGGAAGTCATTGAGACGGATGATACACTGCCTCCATTTTTCGCCGATTGTCGCCTTCCGCGTGCCCCCCGTTTTCTGGTGCTACAAGACCGCAATCATTCAAGTTAAGCAGGTGTTTGTAGGCTGGATAGTTTTACAGTACTCAAAATTTGAAACACGGCAAAGCCGTCATGCGTGACATGACCTCCAACTTTTGAAAAGTTCCGATTACCATGTGAATCAGAGGACTGATGAAATAGCCGAGCCCAAGTTATTTGCAAGCAAAATATTGCTCGGACATTGAGAAAAAACATCCAGTTTTTTTCCGAGAATTGGTGTGACAATAGAAGTAGAGATTGCGATATAGATCATGCGACTTACGCGAATTGATTCTATGTTCTCCAGTTAGCTCTAATACGATTTTTTTTACTACAGAGATGAAATGCTTGCTTGCCCAGGCTTGCGGTTTTATTCATAGGGCGGCGGCGGTCCCAGCATTTTCTTGGAGAGGGAGTAAGGTGCCATAAAGTTTCCGTAAAAGTCATGCCTCCAAATTTCACGTTTTTTGAAATTTTGGATGGTTTTCAAATAGCTCGCGTATGGGCGATCATCGCACTCAAAGGCAGAGCGCCACCACGGGTGCTTCTGCGTCTCCCTAATCGAGCGCTCTTTCATCCTCCTACCGTCTGCTGTCTCTCCCGTTCAAGAACTATCTTAGTTGGACGCAAGGCGTGTTCTCCGTGCGTGCGATAAATCACCTGTGCACATTCTTGGAACACTGAAGAAAGCGGTACTTTTCCGTTATTCGGACCCATTTTTTCACAAAAAGATACTGCTTCTTTGCTTGCACCATATTTGTTCCCAACTTCATAGGAAAGAGTGTCAACCTTCTGCCACGTGTCAAAAAAATTTGACATGCCCTCTACATGTTTAACAAGTTTTAGCAAGAGTTCATGTTGCCCTACCTAGCAACATAAGTTTAACTTTTTTGGTCAATAATGACCCTATTTTCGATTAAACAATTTTAAAAATGCCATTGTTATAATAATAACGTCGCTCTCTAATCAATGAGCATACTAGACATGCCCAGAATAGAGAAATGCGCTAGGGTTCCCATCTAAGCGGCGACAAGCAGCAGCGAGTTAATACTTCAAGCCATCATTTGTAGACTCTTCTGGTTAAACTCGCATGGCGGAAAGTTTGAAAAGAAATACATTCTTGAATCATTGCTAGAAGCAATCAAGATATTCTAATAATGGTTCTAGATTGTTTTGCTCTTATATAAATCAGCTGGACAGCTTTTAAGTGGTTACAAATGCTCTTTTACCTCACTGGAAATGATTTCGAAAAAACATGTCAAAGTGGATTAGAACGTGCCAATTTTTCTTGACACATGGCGAGGAGGCAGTCCTCGTAGAATCTATGAAAATTTGTACTTAGACTACAGAACGTATTTTATAAGAGCCTTTTGAAAAAATGGGTCCGGATAATGGAAAAGTACCGATGAAGAACTATATTCGCGGAAAGAATTTAATGTGCAGAGCTGATTGCAGTTCCTTAAAATTTACCCTCGACAAAATTTATTTGTCTGACCGAGAGATTACTCATTTATAAACGAACTCATGAGTCTTCCTTTCGGCTCAGTCTATATGGTAGTATTACTGTAAGAAGTTCTGCAAATTCCACACCATCGAATCTCTCCTTCGACACTGTCGTTCAGATATTCTACTAGCTGTTACAGCTGCAGAACAATATCAATATAATCATCTACTTCTGACTGCTGTCATAATTCGCAGACTCTGATAAACTTCCTAGAAACTAACTTTCGCTAGATCACAACTATTCAATAGTGTGATTCCCAAGTAAAAATTCTATAGGCATTCTATGATAACAAATTGTTTTCAGATTTTGAAGGAAATGTTATTAGGAATGCCACCCGGCATATGACATCGTAGAAGAGCTCCTCTCTCCCAGTGACTCTGTTAGAAATTGGGGCAGCCACTGAGTGTGAAAACATTCCACGGAGAAGTGAATGTAGATTTTAGGAATTACATCTCTTCACCTTGACCGAATAATTTGACTGAATGCTCACTATTATACTCATTAAATTAATAAATTAATATTTGAACTTAGAGATGCCCTCGTTCGACATTCCTTTTGCTACTTCCACTCTCAATCTGATACTCACAGTCAGTTTCAGAACAATTTTGTAGGTATTTAGTGCCAATATTAAGATTTTTAGATTTGTGACATAAAGCCTTTTCAAAGATCTAGATAGTATCCATATTGCTGAAGATATAGCAGATACATGAGTTGGAGCAAAATGCCTACATTAGATTTTTTCTGAACCTTGTTTTGAATGAAATTGACTAGAAAAAAGTCAAATCACGCTTTCAAAGTGCACAATAGCACATTCCAGGTCAAAAAAAAATTCGCGCCTATCATGGTGCGACTAACGATAAGCTTTTTTTTTCATTATTTCTGATAGGCTAAGAATTGTTGACAAGTGCATGTACATACATCAAAGGAATGCAACGCAATGAACAATGCTGTAAAAATCAAAATAATTTAAACTATTTTATTGAGCAAATCGTCCCTGAAAGCGGAAACTCCTCATTGCTGGACGCTTTATTTTGCATAATTGTGCTTGATTCCTGAATTCAGTTAGCGTTACACGTTGTATTGGAGACTTTTTGTAGAAAAAATGTACAGCTCGGTTGTCAAATACGCCCTTCGTTTTGCCCTGTAAAAAAATTGTACGTGTCATTTGGGGCAAATCATATGAACTTACCATTAAATGATAATATGACGTGGTCGCATTTGGCCCCTCGATGATCATAAATCCCTCGATAAGTAAAATGAAGAGGTTGGAGTTCTGATAAATGAAGAAGTAATGGAGGCAGTTTAATCGAATTTTAGTCTCTAAGGTACAAGAAGACCCAAAGAACTGATCTTGCTTTGAGCAATAAAAGCGAAGTTGTAAGAGGCTAGCAAAGTGAACGCTTGTTTAGTGTCCCTGCGGTGATGACACATTTTCGCGCAAAAATGGTGATGGAGAGCTTTATTGACGCGCAGCTTTTGTCGACAATGCAGGATACCACAGAAAGCCCGCCGAGAATGAGTCGCAAAACTTCAGAAAGTTACCTCCATAAGTTGTGCAAGGAACTTTTTATACTCTGAATAATCGAATTTTTTAAAAAATTTCGGAGAACTCAAAGCCATGTGAAAAATTTATTTTCGCCCCACTTGGGACCCTTGGAGGCTACCTTTGTTTTGCTGTCGAAATTGCAAATGCCTAGAGAAGATAGCCAAATGCCATCTGGCTATCTTCTCACCCAACTCCCCCCTCACCCCATGCCTACCTTTATTTTTGCGAATGCTTCGCTCTGTTGTGGAAGTCCGTGCTCTATAACTGCTGCCAAATGTTCATCCCAAGGTGGTTCCATGACATCTATTGGCTGCAGGCGCTCCATAAATGAAAATATATGCGTCCGTTGGCAATCCTGAGCCGTTGCTGCGGATATGACAATCAATGTGAGAACTGCGCTTCTCATCTGAAAATATATATTTTTGGAGCAACGGTTGGGTTTGGGGTAACGCACGTTTGAAGATGAGGTTGCAAACGGGAAATTTTCGTCATGAAGAGTTGATTTGATAAGAAATGCTCTTGATATTATCAGAATTGCTGCTTAGAAATGCGTTTCTAACAATTCCAGTGGAAATTTCGCATAGCAAAGATTACCATAGCCTTATAGTAATTCAATAGCAGTTCAGGATGTACAAAAAGTGGAAGAAACCGTAGAGAAAACTGAGAAAAGGCAGCAAAAAAGCTGAAGTTTTTTTAAGGAAACTTACTGCTGAACAAAATAGTTTTTTTTTTTATCTTTCTCTCTCAACCGCACCCCCCCCCCTTCTCAAAAAACCGTAGGGGAAACTGAGAAAAGGCAGCGAAGAAGCTGAACTCATTTTCAGGGAAACTACTACTGAACAAAGAAGCTTTTTTATTTTCCCTCCTCCCCTCCCCCCCCCCCCCCCCAATCGTCAGTAATTCGCAGAAGTTCCACTAGAAGTATACAGTATTTCATTGAGAACTTACAGACTCACAAGTAGATCAAACAAATTTTTCAAAAATCGGGGGATAAAAAGACGAGAATAGATAGTCATATCTTATAAAAGTCAAAGTAAGTAGAAAATGAATAATAAAAAATGCAACCTTCAATTTTCTAGCCATTTTTTCGCAAAACCAGTAACAACAAAGAATTCTAAATTCTATCTTTGAAAACAAAACTGATCACTATGAAAAGCAGTACATACTTGCTACTTTGGGCAAGTTTTCATTATTTCATGATTCAGAAAAAAAAAACAAAAGTTGGCTATTGAAAGAGAAGTTACAAAGACTACTTTGTCGTGTTAAGTGAGTAATAGTCTAAAACCAGTGAATTCTAGACTTATGTAGCACATTCTAAGTGAAAACATCTTTTGGCGCATATGACAAACAACGACAGACGAAAAAGAGGTAATGAGGTAGGTACGAAAGCAAAGAATTAGGTCTAGGGTTGTTCGCACTCCCATTAGGCGTGTAAAGTTATAGAGTTAACCAACAACGGAAACACATGACTTCTCCTAATTTCTGTATATCACATAAATAAGATGAAAAAGATAATGGTGGAACCGAAGATGATTGAAAGTATCAGGCAATCGATTGCTATTGAGCTAAAAAAGACTAATAAAAAGACTTTCGCTTTTTTAAGTCTTTGTCCTTGAATTCAATGAAATGTAGAAGATATTTCCGTTGTAAAACCTAGGTTTCACGTGATTTCAAAGTATCACAGTTAGAACAAATAGGGCGTTTCTTATTTTCTGCATCAAGAACTGTTCTTACTTGTCTTGCTTGAGTTAATCATAGTTAGAGTCTAGCACAAAAATCTCCAAAACCTTGTAATTTCCGTAATGGACTCGCATGACTTGAAAATTTTTGAAGAAAAAAGCACATGCTACATGGCAAAACCTAAACCAAGTATCAGTATTTGCAAATGGCGCAAATGCAAGATGACGTAAGGACCAAATTTTGGCTTTCAACCTGGGTTACACTGAAAGGGCACAGAATCAGAAATCATCTACAGAATATAGGGCTTTGCGTGATCGCGAGAGTCGGTGAGTGTGCGGCCGTTGCACGTGCACTGAGCTTTCCTAGTTATTTTTTCTTCTTTTAACCGCTTTCTGCTAGATGTGAGCTTTCTACCTGAGACGATTATGAAATTTAGGCGTCAACTGGTCTGAGACCTTGTGGCATCCTGCGTAGGCAATGATCGCAATCATCGGCTATCGCGATCACGCCGAGTCCTATACTAAGTTGTCTCGAAAGTTTTGTCCGTTTTTCGATCGGTCTCAAACTCATAGAACACCGATCGACAATTTCTTAGATCATTAGCAAGATTTCTATCCACTATCTGAAACTTCAGCTTCTCTCTGGACTATACAGTCTTTGCGATGTTAACATCATGGTTCTTTGAACCACAGCCATGCTACATTTCCCCGAAATTTGAGAAATTTTCGTACTCGCGGAGCGCTGGTATGTGTAATGAAGAGGTAACCTTGTTTACATTTTCTCAATTGCATCAATTTGCTCAGGTTTTTGGAGTCTGTAATATTTAAAAGTACCCCGGTTTTTTGATCATGTGCAGCTCGTGGGCGTAAAGTCGCGGCTAGCGATGCACGCGCTCCTCAAAGTACGGAGGCCGGGACCACCGGCTGTTTCGCGCATCCGGTCGCGATCAAGACAGCCTTACAGTTTGCCCCAATCCTAACCAGGCCAAAATTGGCATGGCGAGAGTCCGCGTCGCGAGGGTTTCGCGCCACTTCTGCGGTTAGCTAGTCTGCTCTCTCCTCAATCTCTTCGCTCTCTGCGACAGCGCGCGTGTGCAACGCAAATCCCTAGCGCTGCGAGCGCGCAATTTCAGCCGATGGTTCGGCCTGATCCCGTTTGGAGCAGACTATAGCTTCGCATTGTAGCAATGGCCGCCAGACCTCTCGCTGCTGGCACGTAGCCAACAAAATGGCATAAGGCGGCGGCGCCCCATTTGCTCGCCTGCTCACTTTCGTCTTTATCGATTACTTTGCCTGTGATTTCAATATCGCATCATCGTGCCTTGAGCTCGCGCATTGGGTACGTTTTTGTTGCAAACCAAGCGATCGAAGCGGTTGCACAGGATTTTGGGAAAGTTCAAGCGCAGGACGCGCAATAATGAAAGCAACCCCTTCTTAAGTATCATCGGGAACGGAGAGGGTTGCACCGTTTCCTTCGGGTCTGGAAACTGGCGACGGGTCTGTTTGGTGAGCGAAAAGTTCATGAGTTGCGATTAGTCTAACGGGGCCATCGGTAGCATGGGGGATGCGACCGCCCCGTGTTTTTCTTCTTATTTGTTCGGCATATTGGTTTAGAATGGAATATTGGCTTGGTGTTATTTTTTGTGTTCAAAGATAGATGTGTTCAATCCAGTCGGCCCCTTTCTTTCCATCAGCGTTTACGCGCTATCATCGTGTCGTCTTGTATAGGGGTAGTCCTCTGCAGCGGCTGGTAAAGGGTAGCTGAGCTTACTGCACGCGCAACATCATGTAGAGGACAATAGGCGTCTAGAGTGTAGCAGCGGCGAGCACTTGCAGAAGGTGCTGGGCTCACCAAATCGCCACACGTAAAGACTACAAAAAGCGTTGATTCAAAAGCACCCCGATTTTTTAAGCATGTGCAGCTCACAGGCGTAAGGAAACTTCAAAAGCGAGATCTTAGAAGCAAATCAAACTTGATTATTTTGCATGTTTTCAACAATCTCCAACACGCAGAAACTTCAAAAGCTTCAATATTTTCGCGGCATTTGTGCGTTTCATCACTTTAACAAAAATCGAACCTTCAAAAAAAAAAGATTTTTGTCAAAAAAAAAAAGATTTTTGAAGTTCCGAAGGGCAGATCGAAGGAATTAAGAGCATACCCTTAGTTCGAGAATTGTTCTATTTGTATTACACCTGCTCCTTTCCAAATCTCCAAGATTAAATTCTAGAAAATCACCCGAATTTGAGCAGATCGTAGTGACGGATGAAGACTTTTGGCGTACATCAAAAAGCGTTAAGAAGATTATGATTCGAAAATGTAACCGTAAGAAAGAAAAGCAGAAACTGCATTGAAAGCATGTTTGAACACCTTTAGGTCTTTACATGCAAAAATTTATAGTTGCGAAAAAATGGTCAAAGCTCTCGGGACGTCCTAACTATTTCATGCCCTCTATTCTCTTTGATTGAGAAAGCGCCGAACAAATGCCTCTACAAGGAATATAGAAACCTAATTTTGGAGGACATGCTGGAAAGTTATCGTGAACACGTGAAAAAAAATTGATAGAGAAACTAAAATGAGCTAAAAACATGAAATCTTCATGTATATACGTTTTTTGCAAATGTGATATCCTTCTGTAACTGGGCACATACTTGGGTACATCAAAACTACTTCCAAATTGGTAGGATATTCACAATCATCCTAGAGTAAATGCAATAACGTGAATGTTTTGCCATCACTTTTTCCCGTTTAGCCATGAAGCATGCAGCATGTGCATTTCGCGGAAGTATGTGCGAGTTTGTTATACGCCTAGTTGGTTGTGGAATTTTTAAGCGGAGATCAGATTTGTTAATAATGAAAGTTTACAGAAAATGCTGAAGATAGCCAAACTGATGCTGGGATTCCATTTTGCCATTCATTTCTGACAAGGTAAAGCCCGCGTTTCAAACTCGTATAGTAACAGCCCGGCTGGAGCAAGATGTTGTTCCAGCAAAAATCCCTCGAAGAAACATCAAGCACAACTACTGCGTAATTGTCCATACGACACAGCTTGTATTGAAGAATTGCGTCATTTCCTTCTTGAAAGATGGAAGTCTCTGTCAAGTTTGGTATTGTTTATGAAATGAATGTCTGGAATGCCACTCCACCTACATAGGGGAAACTGGTCGGCAACTCAGCGTGCGTGTTAATGAACGTTTGATTAGTAAGAAAAGGGAAATCGGCAAGTCCGCTAGGGAAACATTGAAGGGTAGACCATAACGGCAGCGACTTCAAAGGTGCATCATCTAACAAGGGAATGATACTAACTTAGATTCGCCTTTTGAGACAAGGCACACATATTTGGAATCAGCTTGAAATGCTGATTCCAAATATGCTGTTCCTAGCTGCTTAGCATTATTCTAAAGCGAGTTATTGTCTCTTTTCTATGCAAAGTTTGCGTGCTCCTCGACCTACTGATGTTACGGTGTCGACGTCTAGGTGGTTTCACAACTGTATAATGCTCCCTTTTAGATTCGAAAGAATTAATCTAATGCTAGCTCAAATCCTAGCACTTTTTTCGAGCAGATCTTTATCTACACGTCGTCTTACGACATTCAGAAGTTTGTTAATTACTCACAACAGCTAGCCCATAACTCGTTTCGGAGTATGCTAAGCAGCTAGGAACAGCATATTTGGAATCAGTGTTCAACGCTGATCTCAAATATATGTGTCTTCTCAAAATTTGAATCT